AAAAATCGCTCAAATTTACCAAAAATTACTATGCGTGATGCAGTGATTAGTTGTCAGTTCACATGATATATACTCTTTCTTTTTTTCTGTTTAAGGCCTTCCTCTTTTATCACTTTGAATGACTGTACATGGTTTTGTTCAATGTCCAGTCCCTGGTAAAGCCATAGCCCTCTTCAGAAGTCCAAGACAGTAAAAGTGGCCTCCCCCTTTACCCAGCGTGATGCTAGCCATAAGAAAATTGGCAACTAATGTTCTCCTCCAAGCGTGTTGAGTTGTACAGTGACGTTGCCTGGGTGGCTGGCCTCCAGTGTCTCAGAGGAAGCTGGAAGTTTCACCCTTATAGCTCAGTAATATAGTGAGAAAAACAGTCAGATTACAGGGTGTTATAGAGGTAGAACATGGTCCTTATGGTAAAACATGGTTCTTAAGGTCCAGTTATGTACCTTACCCACTTAAACGCATAAGGTCTGGTACTGGACCCAAAAAAGATAAAGACCCTTTAAATCTGCCACCTGAGGAGTTCGGTTCTGTGCACAGTAGAATCTGAGATTTCTGTGTTCTCCCTTGTTTTCCCTTGTTTTCTGTCACAATATAAAATATGCACAAGGCTTCCTTTCTTATTGGATGCAGTGTAGATTTTTCCAGGCAGGTGAGCGAATTCAGAGCAGACTTTGGCTCAGTTTGCACTTAGTATTGATTTGTTTAATGAGATTAACAATAAAGCGCTTTGACTTATATTCATATTCATGTAGTTTCTTGTTCAGATTGATCATTTGTGACATAAACTAGATAGAAATTTCAGAACTTTCGACTTTGTTAGATCACATTCTTTACATATCAGATAAATGCAACAAACAGCTTTAAGGAATCACATTATTAACAGGATAGAGAAGAGAAAAATGGCAGAAGTAGCTACTTTTTTGAATCAGCCTTAAAGGGTTTAAAGGTGCTCTGCATTCACTTTCCCTCGAGAAGGATTACATATTTGTATCAGTTCTTATTTTAACTTTATTAAATAGAAAATTTAAATGAAAAGCCTGTAATTAAGAGCGTATGGAGTCAGGGCTACTAAAATCATTGCAGTGGACTAAGATATAAGCAGGGCCTATCCAGTCCTCTAGAATGGGTGCTTTTCCCCATAAAAGTGAACCTTTTAATTACAAGCTAATGGTGTCCTGTGTAGGTCAGGCTTTAACATGATGCTACTATTACATTATTAACCACAGCGGTTAGCAGGTCTGCTTACCCCCCTAGCCATTCTACAGATATTTTCAGTGAACTATAGTCATTTTTACTTACATTACACTGAGTGTCTTTCAGTGACTTTCACAAAGAAAAATCATAGGACTGTTATTATCGTCTGTGAATAGTTCTGCCATATTCAGCTGGATTCTAATTCTTCACTAAATGAGTCTGTAAAACTGCAGCTTACAAAATAGGAAATGTGTTACTTGAATAAATGCTACGCACAGATTTTGACATTTTGTCGCTACAGAAACAAAATCCAGTCAGGATTCCTGTGAACTCATCCACTGAAGGGAAAAACTGAAATATGGCATTTTTATACAAATTTTGATGCACATTTCTATATATTTACTGAGTTTGACATATTGAGGAAAAAGGAAACAACATATGTGCCATAATGTTTGAACAGGCCACATTTTATGCTTTGTTCTTTCCAGTGTGGTAAATTGTGTTTTTTCGTAAAAGATGCTTTTTTCCATTCAAAAAAACGTGTAATTTAAGCAGGGATGGCCAAACCTTTGCATACGACTGTACATTTCAGCAGAAATCCTTTATTGCTGCATCCCTATAGATTATTAATATGAGCAGTAGTGACAGCCCTTTTCACAGTTATTCTCTTACCTGAAACTGTTCTACTTTACATTCACAGCAGCCTCAGAGGTGAGAACACTGTGTGTTCTGCTGTCACAGACATGAAGTTTCTTTCTCCTGTATAGTCCATCCTGAACTGAGCTGTTACAGGACTGGAGAAAAGCGTTTCAGCAAGTTCACAGTTTCAGTTGTGTCTCTGCGCAGCATCCTCACATGGCTGTGTGTGTGTTTTACAGTGCTGGGGAACCTGAGTGCGGAGGAGCAGTTGAGGCAGCTTCAGGAGGAACGCACCTGTAAGGTGTGTATGGACAAGCTGGTTTCCATGGTGTTCATTCCCTGCGGTCACCTGGTGGTCTGTACAGACTGTGCAGCCAGCCTTCGGCACTGCCCCATCTGCAGAGCGGTCATTCGGGGCAGCGTTCGCGCCTTCATGTCCTAAGACCTGCATAAACGCCCTCCTACACACGTTTACACCCCTGACAGACAGCTTTGACAAAAACTATGAAACACAGTTCAGCTCACAGTTAGCTGGTCACTGGAAGGAGATTAATGGCATTTTTCCACTGGGCAGTGCGGGACAGCACGGTACGGCTAGAAATCCTGCCAAAAAAAGAGCTTAGACCAGCTGTGTTATACTAGTCTAGTGCTAGTTTAGCTGGTTACCCAGCACGATCATGCAGGTTGACCAGAACACCAGCATCCAAAACACATGTCTTGTTTTTGGTGGTGATCAGTCTGTATTACAGCTTTCATTGATGCTGAACAACATTCCAGCATGCTAATTTTCCTAGCTGGGCTTTCCATACTCAGCTGAGTACCTGTGTCCGTTTCCCACCACGTAACAGAACCTTGAGAGTCGCCAGGGTTCTCTTCAGCTTGTGTGGTCAAATGATTTCTCACGTGGATCTAACCTTAACAGTAAACACAAACAGCAGCAGCAACGATGGAGCAGCTTCACGTTCTGATTGACGTTTTACTCTGGATTTGGTTTCATGTGTGAGACAGTGATTCAGAATAGCTGTCGTCTGACTCCAGTGGCACCACTCGATGATTATGTTTGACCAATCAATTACTAACTCCACCCACACATTCTGGCTCGGCTTGCTTGGTACTCGAGGAAGAGGGGTAACCAAACTCAGCATGGCTACTCATATACAGTGCAGGTCACATGGCAGTGGAAATGACAACAACATGCATGATGACGGATTTGTAACCGTGCCGCACAGAACCGCACTGCTCAGTGGAAAACAGCACTTTGCTGAATTTAACAGAAGCTTCTACTTGAGAAACATTAATTACAGAATAACATTCAGTGGAGCAGCAGTTACTAACCCTTTAAACCCTAAGCGTCTGTATGTGGAGCTCCTCTTTAAGAACTACATCATTTATATATTAGTTTCAGAGCAGTTACTCTGTGTTACACTGCCTTGTTTGGAATCACTTTCCATAACAACTTTTGTTTTATATGCAATTATATCTAAAACAATGTGGATTTAATTATTACAAACTATTCCCCAAATTCAAGCTATAGATATAGTTATTGATAAATACTATACTGTAATTATCCATTTACATTATTTTTTTGTAAGTTCTTTGTTTTTCTCTGCCATGAGATTTCATCTCCTCTTTTGGAAAGTGATGAATTCTGGATACTCATTTTATTAGCACTTCTTTCTTGATGCTGCACAGCCTCCTCAGTCATTTTAGAGCCCTACACAGCTCTGTTCTTCATTCTGGACTCATCTATTTCTTCAGTTTTGTTTCAAGTTTCCTGCTAATTATTTGATAATTGTGAAGTTGTAGAGGAGAAGCGTGTTAGAATGATTTTATACGACTGTCTGCAGCCAAAGTGGTTTTATAGTAATGAAAACAGTGATTCCAAACTTTTGAGAGGCACAGTATGTCTGTTAGACGAATAACAGGTTAGTGCCTGGAGTTTAAGGGTTAATAGCTCCCGCATAGGAACCACTCGCTTAAACAGAACATAGCAGCCAGATTTCTGAAGACGAACAGTTCATCTATACTGATGATATTAACAATGACATTCAGTTTAAACTGAGCTGAATGTGACACAGCTTGAATCCCGTTTCTTTGTGGTGGGAAAGTTTGATTTTCACACTAGATTAACAGAAACTCTTCTGGAAAGCTGTTCCAAATGCTGTTCAACTAGAAGCTTAGCTATTTTTCTCAACACCATCAAAAACAAAGACACAGATTTCAGGACTGAGGTTCGAAAAATGCCATCAATGAAATTTCTTTTGCAGCTGTGGAGATGAGTTTTCAAGTTTTTTCTAGTTCAGCTGTAAAATATTGAAGCTTTGGCTCAGAGCTGTGAACTTAATGCTTTAAGTACATCTGTTTTGAATTATGAGTTACAGAATTAAACAAAAAATACAAAGGAAAACATGAGAAATGTTTGAGAAAGTAAAACAGGTTGTGATGCTTTAATATTAAAGGAAGTGCTCTTGTTAAAATAAGCTATTTTCATAAACTAAAGTTTTGAATGAAGCCGCTGTGCCTGTGTCTTTTTTCCCTGCTCACCAAAGACCTGACAGAGTGAAACCTGAACATTCCAGACCCTGCAGAGAAAACCTCAACCGCAGATTAAACCAGTCCTCGCCGTGTTCACTACCGCCCCAAATTTTGTCCTGTCGCTGCTTCACACATAAATATGTGCTTTCACAGTTACTGTCAGCGTGTTTGTCTTACACACCATGTGCCATGCTGACTGTGTATGTGATATAATTGATAATCCTGATTGTTTTAAAGAATATTGAATATGATTTTATAGCAAGAGTAGACTTTGAAGACGATCCAGACTTTTTTTGTGAAAAAAAAAATCTATTAATAATTTTTAAATAAAAAACAACAGAACAGAACAGAACAGGCACACAGATGCACAAATAAGCGAAACAAATTCAGACTAATTAAGGTCCTCTTTCATGACTAAGTCAGTCGGCGCAGACTGAGCACAGCATCAGCCTTTGCTCGACTCAGTCTGGCAGCGACTCGCTCTCGTACCAAAACATCCATAAAACAGCAGGAATGTAGATCTTAAGTGCAAACTCAGTTCTGCTCTTCGCTGCTCTCAAAAAGCCACTATTATTATTTTCTTTTGACAGTTTCAGTTTAAGTACTGAATCATCTCTGAGCAGAAACAAGCCTGGATTTAAAGATCTACTTCTAAAGGAAAGAAAGCAGAGAAGCTGTTGTTTCCCAGAGGTGTTTCACTGGGTCACTGCCAGAAAACACAAAAAAGTGTCCTGAGAACATTTAGAGAGCGTTTAGAACAAAGTTATTGGTGAAAAGCTTCATGTGGGGTGCACCGTGAGGGATATATAAAATCTGTGCACGTTTATCAGCTGATGAGCAAAACTGAATATACTCCTCCAGATTAAACCCCAATTCAGATGGTTCATGGCTGCGGCTCCGCAATCCAGATTTTTTTAAAGATATCATGCAGGTCTAGTTCATTCTCTGTGCTACTGGATTTTCTACCAAAATAAACACTTTATTTCACTTCTTTTCCTGAGTATTTAACTGTAGAAATGGTGCTAATTTTACAGAGTTTCGTAACATCATTTCATTATAAAACATTGAAAACTCTTTGAGAATGTAAAAATGGCTGCATGTCTGTTTCTGAGAAGTACTCATCATCACCACTTTCTTTTTTGTTTCTCGCTGTATATCAGGAATAGAATTCACAAAAAAAAACAAAAAACAAAACAAAGTGCAAATACTTCCAAATCGATTGTGTGCACTGCTGTGAAATCGAGCATTTTAGCCCACAACAACCTTAAAAAGGCCTTAATATCCTGGCAGGACTGAAGCAGGGACCTATTTCTGACCATAGCTGCTTATATGGTGTGTGTGTGCGTGTGTGTGTGTGTGTGTGTGTGCGTGTGTGTGTGTGTGTGTGTATGGAGTACGGACACATGGGACAACTTTTCCAGGTCAGCGACTGTCTAGTTTGTGAATAATCCCAAACACAAATGCAGCAACAGGAACATCTGATGAAAAGTACACATTATTTTATTAACAAATGTCTATTTACAGTCTGGACATCAAACACATGAGGACAGATAAGATCACATCATCAGCACAGCAGCAACAGGGAACTCTGGAGAATGAACAGCACATTGGAGAGATACAAAAAAAACAAGCCCAATGGTAACAAAGAACTCAAACTCATCTGTAAAAAAGAGAAACAAAAGGAGGGGCAACAGGAGAGAGAGAGAGAGAGCGAGACAGAGAGAGAGAGCGAGAGAGAGAGACGGGGGGGAGCGAGAGAGAAGGGGAGAGAGATGGAGAAAGAAGGGGGGAGAGAGAGAGAGAGAGAGAGAGAGGAAAGGATATTCATTTACATCAATCATGCACAGGCACTCAGCAACAGACTGGACAGTCACATGTTCACAGCTGGCCTAAAGACGACACCCCAAACACGTTTACTGTAGAATTACAAACGAACACAAGTTTCATCTGAATGTAGTAAAAAGTCAATCACCCTGGTCCTGTGTTGCCAGATTCAGCTCAAACACCTTGTTAGTCGTACAGAAGCACATTAAACACTAGAGGGCGCTACAGTATCACACTCACAGTGACAACCTTGTGGGGAACTGAACTGTGCTGTATTCTTTGTAATAGCTGTGAATGTCGCTCATCTCTGAAAACGATGTGATAGTTTTCAGGTTGTGAGAATCAAGTTTACAGTTTGGACTGAAGACCCCCAACCTGGTCTCATATACAAAAGTTTGGGTCATGCTGGTCAAACTGCACATCAAGGGTTCCATTACAAACTCATTACAGCCCATTTTCAGGAGTTTTTGTTTTTTTATTTATGACATACAGTGTTGGACGTTAAATTTTACCCAACAAAGAAAGATTTATTCTGCATTCTGATTAATATTACCTTTATTACAGAAATATGAATGTGTTTTCTATTCTATTTTGTTGTTATTCTTTTCAAAAACTTGTTATTTCTAATATTGTCACAAATAGATATACAGCATTTTGGAAACTCCTCATGTTTTGATTTTCTAAGCAAACACACTTAACAAAGAACACAGTTCTGCACAATTTAATGCACAGTCACTGTTTATTTGCTGAATTTAACAAAAAAAAATCATAACGTCTGTGCAAAAGTTATGGCGCATTTTATGTTTATATTTTTCAAATATGTAAAACTTAAATAAATAGAAACTATGTGCTAAAATTAGCAGAAAAATGCCATATTTTAGTTCTCTGTATGGACGTGTTCTTCTTTTCACTTAGAAAATCAACAAAACATGTAATTTCATGTTCACACTTTTGCATCTGACTGTAAACTATAATGTGGAAATAACAACAATAAAAAATCACTCCAAACTACTCCTCATTATAAAGCAGCACAACAAGCTGTACATAACAAAAAAACTAACATTTAATCGAGTGATGCAGTTGTGCTTCAGCTCATTTTGTCCAGTCCGGCCCCAGCAGCTCTTTTCTGAATGAATACAGTAGTTTTACATCTACAGTGAAAGACTGACAGCAACTCAGCACTTGACGTGTTTTATAATCTAAACACTAATAAAACGCAGTCAGAGCTGCAGACAGACTGAGCGTCTCCCACAATGTGGGGTTATTTAAACTTTCACAGAGGGATTAATTAATTACGGTGGATTCCAGCCCCTCCCAGCACGCGCACAAACTATTTAACACTCTTCTCTTTGATCTCAATGTTCATTAATTAAAAACACTGCGCTTTGAAATATTGATCATTTAAAAAAAAGAACACTCAACATTACAGCCTCGTTAAAATACTTGCATATTCGCAAATTCCTAATCATGTTAAATACTGATAAAACCTTAATTACAAATATCACAGCACTTTGGACTTAAAGAGACTCAGACTTAGGACTGAAGACTAGATGACGTCACTCAGATTAGAGAAGGAAAAGCTTCAGAACGATCACTCCTCCTCTGAGATCTGGTCACAGGTCTCTGAGAAACGCTGCTTCCATCCCAGAACTTCTCTATTTTTTCTCTTCTGTTCTATTTTTGGCTGCAGTCGTCCAGGCTGGCTTGCTTTGTTTGTGGAACGAACCGACTCCCCGTCCACTTTCCTGCTCAGCTGGTGTCTCTGCGCAGATCCTGTTCAGCTGTAAACTCCTACAACTAGAACTCAGCCAAACCTCCACATCTGAGCCGGAGCCACTAACAATGAACCCAGCAGAGCCGATACAAACACAACCTGCACTGTATTTGGAACAGACGCTTACACAAATTTGGAAGACAACATTTTTGCCTTGGCTAAGTTTTCTTTCACTTGTGATGAGGGGAGAACAATAAATCAGTGGCTGATACATTATTTTATTAATGAGAAATGAAATTATCCTTAACATATTATTGTTCAATATTGGAATTACAGCCTATAATTTAGCTAATAACTGTGTTTAGCTTGCACATTGGGTAAAACACCCAACATCACATTTCATTAGTATTCGTCACTGTCGGAACAAAACCTATAAAATCTGTAAAAATGATTTTTAAATTGAAGCCTTGATATTCACACTGGGTCAAAATTCTATGCTGAACAGAACTGAAGTCGTCCAAATGACTTAGAATAAACACTTGTTACATTAACTTACATTGAAAGTTAGGAATGTTTTTATTTCATTTCTCTATAAAGTTACTGTTTGTTCCAACAGTGATGAACTGTTTTGAATAATTATCATGACTTAACTGTCACAGTAATATAATATTTAAAATCAGAGTGCACTTATATATGGATGATAATGTAAATCTAGGGCTGTCAAACAATGAAGACAATTAACACAGAGTTCACATGAATATAACATTAAATTGTATGTTTGTATAGAAACCCACAGAGTGACCACAGTTTCCCATTTTCATTCCCCACATCCAGTAAAAGCAACAGTGGCTGTGTGTATATGAGTGTATATACAGTGCTCAAATTAGTCTTGGGACACTCTGAATACAAACTTTATTTATTTATTTCCAAGGTAAAGTTACAATACAAATCCTAATAACCAGCAATAATGACCAGGTTTACTAACTGAAACTCAAAATGATCCCAGTAATGAACTGAAAACGTAACTAAGGCAAACAGAAATACTCAAACATTAATTTACATTTTACAGTTATAGTAATGGAGATCTCTGGATTGAACATGACATGCTTGCACATTTGGACTAGTGTATTAATATTTTTTAAGCCAAACGGAGGGTTAGGCCTTATAATATAAAAAAATATTTATATATATTTATTTATATAATATATAAAGTTATAATAAAACTGAAATTATACACTTTTCCAGATGGGAAAGCACTATTTCCATAATATACGAACAAATAAAATAGTTCTAAAAAAACAAATGATGACAGAAATGTCCTAAAACTACATTTGAGCTCTGTATCAGATACATCATCTTCATGACTGTAGCCTCTCACTCTCATTTATAGCCCTGAATTCTTGTTATAGTAAAAGCTCTTGAGTTTTTAACTTTACTATTGCTTTTGTTAGTTTGCTGCTCACTGATTTATTTATCGGTCTCTGTCCAGCACTGTCCAGCACAGTCTGCCGAAGGTATGACTTATTATTAGAAGCTGTATTTGAATGAGAGGGTTACAACTGTGGGTTCTATCACAGCAGCACAGAGTGCACGAGCAGTTGGGCTTCAGCCTGGATCACTATGGACGGTTTGATGGGTCAAACTAGGAAAATGTGTTAATAATAAAAAAATAAAAATAAATGGTTAATAATTTTTCATGTTAACGTGTTATTAACACATTAAGTTCGACAGCCCCAGTCAATCAGTCAATATCAGTATCGGCCACAGCACAGTTTTAATTATCAGTTATCGTTATCAGGTTCTCCCTAATTGTGGTTCTGCCTAAATAAACAGTGGTGCATGTTTGTAGCCACTCTATAGCGTTAAAGCTAATGCGCTTACTTCACTTGGTCCAGGTTAATAATATGTAAAGTCCAGCTGCTTTTTCCCAAAGGGCCTCTAAGCAAGAAGGCCGGCAGTGTGGAAACACAGAGGCAGCTGGATGGAGGAGAAAGAGCGCAGGGATGTGAGATGAATGAGGGAGGAATCTGGAGGAATTCTCTGAGGAATTACCGCTGTTTCCTCTCCGCTACACACACCTTCACTTACGTAGAC